CTTATGCTTACAACTTTTACTACGTCATGTGGAGAGACTCTGGCCTCTAGCACTTTGGTAAGACTACTGACAGGCTCATACACCAATAGGTGTACCAAATAATTAGGATTTAAACCGATTATTTCGTACAATGTGCAGAGCTCATACAGTTAACAGCTATGCTAGTCCCTGTTCTCACACTTTTAATGTTACACTTCAAATCAAATTTTCCACGAACTACTATTATGTATGTAGTTATAGGTAAGTCTCACTTCATATGGCGAAACTTGATGTTAGTCTTGCTCTCTCACTTCTCTCTGTTCTCTATATCCTCTCTCCTCTTGGTTGGTTCTTTCTCAGAAAAAGTACACTAGAAGTGCCATAACTTGTGTACGGCGATCACTTTGTGTACGGCGATCACTTTGGTGCCAACTTTTTTGAAAATCGATCACTTTAGTGCCAATGCTGACGTGGCTCGCCGGAAATCCAATGTGGCGCTGACACGGCTCGCCCGAGAGGTCCACGGCTCGCCGGAGAGGTCCAGTCAGCATTAAAACCAAAAACGACGACGTTTAGCCCGCTGACGTGTACTTAAAAAAAAAAAAACCTGCAGCAGCGGCGAGGGAGCCCTCGTCGCTGCTGCCGTCAACCCACCACCGCCGGGAAGGGTCGGCGGTGGTGGGCGCAGTGGTCGGCGAGGGCCGGATCCGGCGAGGCGAGACCTCGCCGTCGCGACCCAGGCGACGGCGAGGTTTCGCCTCGCCCAGCGAAGGCGAGGCCAGACCTTGCCGTCGCCTGGGTCGCGACGGTGAGGTCTCACCTTGCCGGATCCTGCCTCGCTGGGCTCGGCGAGGGTCGCTGGATCCGGCCCTCCTTGGGCTCAGCGAGGGTCACCGGGCCCCGGCCAGGGGCCGGCGACCCTCACCGACCACTGCGCCCACCACCGTCGGCCCTTCCCGGCGGTGGTGGGTTGGCGGCAGCAGCGGCGAGGGCTCCCTCGCCGCTGCTGCAACTTTTTTAAAAAATAAAAAAATAAAAAATTCGAAAAAAAGCCACGTAATTTCCACCGTGTACAAGTTAGACCATTTTTTTTAATATAAATGCCAGGTCAGCTTTTTGGCCAGAATTTTGGCCGGAGTCACTAAAGTGATCAATTTTCCTCCGATTTGGCACCAAAGTGATCCGAAAAAAAGTTATGGCACCAAAATGATCGCCGTACACAAGTTATGGCACTTCTAGTGTACTTTTGCCGTTCTTTCTCTCTACTCGCTACAATGTTGTTGTGGTGACAGCATCGACCGTTGAGGACCCTAGATCATGGCAATCTTGATTTGAAGTCAAGCTGCCCTTGCAAGCTACACGTGTGGACAACAATTCGAGATATACAGCAACTCGGTAAGGTATGTTAGAGTATTTAAATATTAAACCACACATTCATTTAATAACTTAAACTTTTAAAATAGTTGATAGTGATCTCACAAAATCTTACATAGTATCAGAGCCTACCGCTCACAAGCATATCGTTTAGTTTTTTTTTTTTCAGTGGCAGAAGAATCCTCAAACATCATGGCTCCTATGATAGTCACTAGCCCCTCTTTAGATAATGCTACCATGCTTGTGTTGAACAATGCAACTGTACAACTACCCCTCAAGTAAACATCGATGAATTATCCCTCCTAGTTGGCTCAGTTTAATTCTCTACTTCGGACTAAGATTTAATGGGCCATGTAGATGGAACTATATTGTGTTTGTCTAACACCATTACTACTGATGACAAAACAACTACCAATCCATCTTATTCTCGTTTGGTACACCAAGATCAACTATTGCTGCATGCAATCATAAGTTTCGCTTCGTACTCAATCATGCTTCTCATTTCTTCTGCCAAAACAGCGCACGAAGCTTGGAACAAACTTTTGCATCTCTTTGCCAACAAGACATGTTCGCACAACATGAGTCTCAAAGAGCATTTAATCCTCACAAAACGTGACACTCCATCAGTAGCTGAGTATTTACGAGTTGTCAAAGGAATCGTTGATGAATTTGCCATCATCAATTCTTCCATTAGTAATGACGATTTGATAATACATGTTCTAAATGGGCTCAGCATCAAATTCGAGGAAATAAATATTGCCTTTAGGACACGCGATTCACCCATTTCCTTTGAGTAACACCTTAATAAACTTGTTGACTTCGAGCAATTTTTGGAATTGCTTTGCTATTAAGAGATTATTTCCAATAAAGTGGACGGTAGTAGGAGGAAGACTTGATGATTTCGTACTTTCATGACACTCTGTGTGCTTGTGTACGTGAGGGGGGGGGGGGGGGGAGGGAATGGTGGCGATGTCGGTGCTAGTGTGGGCGTGCAGTCGCAAGCGGGGGATGGATGGTTGGTTGGCTGGTGCTAGGTAAAGTGGCCGATTCGATGGGGTGATATGTTGTTAGAGCTATTAGGGTTCTCTTGACTCTTTTTTAGGGTGGGTGTGATAGAACATTTAAATATTCAACCACACATTCATCTAACAAGCTTAAACTTTTAGAACAGTTAGTTATGGTTGTACGTAATCTCACATGGTATCAGAGTATAAAATCCCGAGTTTAAAATTTTTCGAGCCTCATTTGCCTCTCTAATTAAATATGTTCGCGTTTAGTACTACGCAAAAAAGACCTGATTAAGCATGAGGGAGAGTGAAAGAATATTTATATATTAAACCACATTTTCATATAACAGCTTAAGTTTTTAGAACAACTGACAATGGTTCTAAATAACCTCATAGGGTGGTGGATATCTCGTTCGCCCTTTTTGACATTTGAGTGGCATAACATAATAAAGCCATATCTGTAAGAAATTTCCAGGAAAGAATACTCAGCTTGATTTATACTCTAAATTAAATCAAAGACAACAAAGTGAACTAGACCATTATTGCGGTTGACATATTTGGTTCAGTGGTTAAACCTCGGGATAAGTGCATTGAAAATCCCAGAACTTGTCACGAAAGTGAAATTGAGTATTAAAACATTCAAAAATTACAATTAAGTCCTAAAACTCGTCACAAAAATTCAATTCAATTCGAAAACTTTCAAAAATTGCAATTAAGTCCCAAATTTTTTCACGAAAGTGCAATTGAATCCTAAAACTTTCAAAAAGTGCAATCAATGCCTAGTTTAACGGAGTTAACGAAAGGACTTGATTGCACCAATTTGACAAGTTTTAGGATTTAATTGCAATTTTTAAAAATTTTAGTACTTAATTACACTTTCGTGACAAGTTTTAAGACTTTTAGTGCACTTATCCCTAAAACACCTACCGTACATATCTTCGTTTGAGATGACAAAGACTAACCTCTCATGATGGTATTGGATCGAGTCATCCCGTCGCCAATTGAAAAAGGAAATTAAAGTTCGGTTATAAAGATATCCGACCAAAATGCCATTATTCAAATGAGGAGGTTAACTTCGACCAAAAATAAAATGAGGAGGTTAACATTGCAGTGTAACAGTACTAAACAGTACCATGAAGCTTGGAAGCCGAAAAACTTGGACTGATTTTACTTTTAAATTTAAACTTTTTAAAATCTTGCATCACATTCATTTTGTTTTTTTTAATCTTAAATTATTGAAAATTTCACAACATCTAAATATAGGCACGCATATCATATATAGCTTTTATATATTTTTTAAATTTGTATCATTTTTAGATTGTGGTGGGAAAGTAAAAGAATTATTTTTTTACTTTTTATAAGCTGTGACAAATAAATTTAAGCTGGTGAGCTGGTGAAGTCATTCACTCATAAAAGTTGCTCAACCGCACTTTTGATTAGATTGACAATGATCATTCTTTACTCAGTGAACAAATCCCGCTCTTGGGTCATCACTTCGCAGTGTTAAATATATATTTGGAAGATTTTATATATTTTCCTTGATTCTTTGTAACGATATTTTGTTATTTTAGAAAGTCATTTATTTATGTACTCTGCATTTGATAATGTATTGAGTATTACATTTTTGTTTTTATCATCACAATTCTCAACTTGATATCGGAGCTTACGACGTCAGTCACACCGATTGCATCGCTAGGTTCTTCCGCTGCTCATTTCGGAAAACGGACACCACCACTAGACTCACCGTCCCTAAATGAACTGGATCATGAAACTTTAGCTCAAACGACCGTCAGATGCTGCCCCACAACCCACCACGCACCGCCACGTCCGTGGTCCACCAAAGCCTGTCGCTTGGAAGCGCAATTTCGACAATTTAGTTGATTGTTTCAAAAAATAAGCACCACTATCGGAATTGTCGTCCTCCGATGAGTCAAACCACGTTGACGGTGTCTCAAAACAAAACTTCATGCGACCTCACGCGCCGCCCAACCTCACCGCGCGTGAGGTCCACGCGCTGCGGGTATCGGATGCTCCAGAAGCTCCTCCGGCGTGTGACGCCATCGTTGACATCAGACTCACACGGGTTATGCCCCACTGTTGATGTTCATGTCATCCCTGACGTCGTCATCTACACGTCAGCCAACCACGTTAGCCTACCACGTCAGCCATTAGCAGGACGTCGAAGGCCCGCGAAGATCCAAACCTATCGCATGAACCGGGCCTACTGCACCGTTGCCGTCGCTTTCCGCAGTATTTTTCTTTGAACGCCAAGAAAATCACGTCGGAAATCTTCCAGTTAATTGCTTGGACAGGATGACTTTAAGTCAAAAGGTGCATGTAAACATTGTTCAATCCCGCCGACCAAGGGTCCCGCCTACCACGATATCAAACAAAATAGTAAAGATATTGCCAGGCTCGCTGCCCAAGTTTCCGTCCTATAATTTGCTTGCCCTTTGGCGTTGGTTAGTGTAGGCCCAGCACCGAGAGATCTCTCTCGAACACACATAGAAATCTCTTTGTTGGCGCTTTTTAACTCTTCTATCTTCCAATGGCATCATTCTCATATTGAGGGACTTGATTTTAGAGTTTTTAGTCTTCTTGTTTGTCAAAAAGGAGAGCTGTTGGTTTTGGATTGTGGTCATGGAGTCACGACCGAGAGCGAGCTCAATCGTCGCCACAAGGCTATGGAAGGTTGTGAGAATCGCTTTCGTAATGATCAGGAAAGGGTTGATGTCCAAGAGAAATTCTATCGGCGACATGATCGACAGGGCAAGGGACAGGAAGCTCATGAGAGAATCGCCGAGGAGTCTCAGCTTCAACCACTATCACCACTCGAGGAAAAGGCGCCTGGTCGGGCTCAACGGGTACGAGTACGAGTTCTCCTGCAGCAACAGCCCGGACCAAGTCATCGTCCCCTCGGCCAAGAACAAGACCCAATTCTTCCCCTGCATGAGGCTCCCTAAAGTCATCGAAGACTTCGTGGAGGATGAGCCCGTGTACCCCGAGAAGCTCGTTTTCATGACGACGACTCCTGAGTACACGTTCAACATCCAGATCGAGCGACACAACCCACTCAAATCGCCCTACTCGGTGAGGGTCTCTAACTTCTCATCAGATGATGAGGGTGACGGGAAATATGAGCAAGTGGACCACAGGGCTGAGGAATTCATCGCGAGGTTCCATGGCCAACTGAGGAAGCAAATAGTTCACTAATGTTTGAAGTTCAACACACTGCTTCAAGTTTCGTGGGTTCTGTGGATAAATCTCACAAGTCATCCATCAGCTTTGCAAGTATTTTCAAGGCACCCCACTTAGGGTAGACCCATCTTCTTTTTAATGTTGGGCTTATAAGAGTGGTTGTGTAGTCTGTAAATATTGTCCGCCCGGAAGTGTTAAATCTTGATGTTTCTTTCTCATATTAGGGGACTTGGGCCTTTCTTATGTATTTCACTTGTCTGTCCAAAGCTCCTCGAATATAAATGGAGCTTGTGTAAATTGAAAAAAACAGACAAGTTTATGTACAAGATTATGGAACCACTGGGTGTGTTTCTGTTCTTTTTCTTACTTAATGAACGGTTTTCTCATGATGATTAACAAGTGCATGACATCTGTTGTCGTTGATGAAAGGGCCTTTTCCAACTAAAGAGAGTGCTTCTGCTTCTGCTTCTGCTTTTTCACAGTTTGATTTTTCTATTGAGGCCCACCTGAGCACTTCACTTCGCCAGCATTTCTCAGTTTTATTTTATTAAGCAAGTGGACTATTTCTGTTCTATTGGCGCATTGGAGGGAGGTCTTACACTCCTGTTCAATTGGTCCCTTCCTATGGAAACTATGATTTATTCTTCTCAATGAGAAGTGAACTCTTGCAATCTCATGTACTTAATTTACCAAGATCAGCACGAGCAGTTGTAATCGTGCAATAACCTGTTCCGCTATGAGAAATGTTGAGATATGAGATGACACTATCTAGAAATTATAAATAAGAAAAATAGAAAAAGTCTAAAGTAACTCCACACTATGTTGATGCATGCTTGACCCAAGAGGCTATAGATAATGCACGTTGGACAAGTCCGGATCAAGGCAATCCCAAAAGACTTGTGACCCTCTCCCCCACTCAATTTGTCGATGTCTTCAAGTTCCCTTAAGGGGCCTTTGATGGAGAATGAAACTGCCTCCAACAATTTATCAAGTTGCTTTCTCAGCTGAACCAACGGTGCTCGAGTAAGTTATTTGGCTTGTGGAAAGAGCTCAATTTCGTGACCCGTTGATCGACAAGGCGGGAGTTCCTTCATAAGTTAATCCGACATGATAGATTCATACTTGAGCAGCACGTCCTGGATCTCTTTTGGAATGGTCATAGCCACATTCTCCTTTACTGTTAAGAAGGCAAGGTACATAGGTTCTTGGTGCTTCAGTCCATGCTTGAGCTGAAGTGTCGACAGCATCACGGATAGCAACTCCAGCTCGAGCCGCTATCATCTCTTGGCCTACGCCCTTGGGTTGGCACAGTGCATGCCCAATCCCCATGAAAAACAAATAGTCCGTGAATAGCGTCACTTGCGAATGCATAACAATGGTAGTTTTGTTTGGAAAGGGTCAAAAGATGACGGAATCATAAAAGGGAACGTTAGTCTAGCGGAAAAATTTATTGTGCATCTAACGGTATAAAAAACAATCCAAGACGTTGCATGGCGCTTCTTGCGACATGTCTAATGCTGATGGTATGAAATTGAATATGTTAAAATAGGTCATTAACTCATTTCTTAACCCATATTTGATGAGTTGAGTTGTTATATGGGTTAGTTATATTCAGTAAAGGATAAATGGGTCTAGAATGATAAAACCCAAAATAATAAGGGTGTTAAATGGATTTACAATTTACTTAGACCTAGCTCACCTCTATGACTCTCTCTCGCTCTCACCTTAGTCTGGGTACGTGTTTTCCTAGATTGGATTAAATGTGGAAATATTTTAGCAATATGAGTCAAGTTGGGTATGGGTCAATAGATTGTATTGTATAGAAATGAGTCAAAACGGGTTAAATGAGTTAATTTGGATTGGACCATCTTCAATCTAACCTAAATCCAACCTGACCTACCTATTTGACAGGTCTATGTGATATTTCATAGAAACAATTGCTCCTCTTAAAAGCCTTTGTTGTGTTGCACAAGTGCACAAGTTTGTATGTTGAATGACACTAATAATTTTAGAAAAAGTGTCCAAAAAATCGTGAACTTATTCAGTCTTAAACTTTTTAATTACGACGATTTAACTTTAGACCCTTTAACGATTTGTCAATGTAATCTTTCCAGTTAATTATGACTAGAAATCTCTGACGTAGACATCGGGCGTTCTAAGCGGCACAGCCAGAGCTGAAGTGGACGATTTTTGAATTTTTTTAAATCTTTTGAATTAATTATTTATTTTCCTATTTTTCTTTTCTTTCCTTTTTCTTTGTTTCCTATTTCCCTCCACCAATCGCCAATGCTTGGCAATGGCCAACAAGGGTCGCAACACCCTCACCAGATCCAACGAGGGCTCGAACCTCGCGGCCTGGCGAGGGCAGCCCTCACTAGATTTGGTGAGGTTCACTTGGGCATGGGCTGCAAACCTCGCTAGCAATCGATGAGAGCTTGCAAAAATTGTCCAGATTGGTCTTGTCGGCGTCCACATCAGCGATTTCTGGCCAAAATATGCCAATAGGACTACATTGGCAAATTGTCAAAAAGTTTAGGACTAAGTGTACTGAATTGGCATCCGTACAATATTCTTATGACTTTTTTGGTAATTTTTCCTATAATTCTCCAAGCAGATGCCTTCGAAAAGAAGATCTCAAACATCACAACTTGAATTTCGGACACATTTGAAGACTGTTCGGTCAAAACATTTTACAAAGCCAGCTTATAAATAATACACCGGACCTTCCAAAAGGCCCAAAGGAAGTGCATTCCGTGAAGCAAGTGTAATAATACCCAACAAAAAAAAAAAGGCTAGAGTGCATCTACTGTGGAGTAGGAATAGAACAATGTACAATTTCAGTTACTTCCCCGATTTGATTAAGTCCTAATCTCCTTGCCTACGAATTTCTATTCTTCACTAATCATGCCATAGCCAGGTTCGTTAATAGCAAACAAGTAAATCAATGGCTCCTTTTCTTCCCTTTTTTGTCAAGTCATACATAGAACAAATTAGGGAAAATAACACAAACAGTCTTTGAACTTTTGCCTAATATACAATTTGATTCCTGAACTTTTAATTTGTTCAGTATAGTTCTTGAACTTTAACCTAATGTTCAATGTGGTCCCTAAACTTTTAATTTGTTTAATGTGATCTCTGGACTTTTAATACATATTCAATTTAGTCCCTGAACTATATAAAAATATTTAGGGTTAATACCACGAAAAACCCTAAACTGGTACATTTGTGACACATTTACCCCAAACTATTTTTTTTACTATAAAAAACCCTAAACTGGTACACCTGTGACAATTTTACCCCAAACATACCACAAAAAATCCTAAACTGGTACACATGTGACAATTTTACCCCGAACTAATTTTTAATATTATTTTTTGTATTTTTTTGAATTTTTTCTTTTTTCTTTTCTTTTCTTTTCCTTCACCTTCAACCGGCGACCGGCCAGAGGCGGAAGCCGGCGAGGGCTGCCCTCGCCGGCGTCGGGCGGCCCTCGCCCGACGCCGGATCTGGCGAGGGCAACCCTCGCCTGTGTTGGGCGAGGGCCGTCCTCTCCTGCCCAGGGCAAGGGCGACCCTCGCCCGACTCAGGCGAGGGCGGCCCTCGCCCGACGCAGGCGAGGGTCGCCCTCGCCAGATCCGGCGAGGGCAGCCCTCGCCCGATACCGGCGAGGGTCGCCCTTGCCCTGGGCGGGCGAGGACGGACCTCGCCTGACGCCGGCAAGGGCGGCCCTCGCACGACGCCGGCGAGGGCGGCCCTCGTCGGCTTCCGCCTCTGGCCGGTCGCCGGACCGGCAACCGGCCAGGGTCTGAAGATGAAAAAAAAAAAAAGAAAAGAAAAGAATAAAAATTAGAAAAAAATAAAAAAATAAAATTAAAATTTTAATTCATGGTAAAATTGTCACATATGTACCAGTTTAGGATTTTTTGTGGTAAAAAAAATAGTTCAGGGTAAAATTATCACAGGTGTACCAGTTTGGGGTTTTTTATGGTCAAAAAAATAGTTTGGGGTAAATGTGTCACAAGTATACTAGTTTAGGATTTTTCGTGGTATTAACCCAAATATTTAATGTAATAGGAACTGTTTGTGTCGTTACCCCCAACAAATTATAAAAATGCAGAAATCATAGTGTTTCGGCCAGCAAATGTCCTACCGGTGGACGAGTTTGAGTTCTACGCCACCGAAATGTCGCTTAGAGGTCTCTCCACAAGTCCACATCGAGTAGTCTTTTCTTGTCCAGTCATGTGCATACCTAATCGTGTTAAGCAAATCTCTTCTTGACTTTTAAAACTCCTTAACTTAATTTGTCGTGACATAACGTTGCTCACATTCTTATCACATCATTACAACATCATTACAACAACCAAGAAGGGATGTATTCATACTTGGGGCTCAAAACGGACATTTGATAGCGGGCGAGATCCTGTTATGCCAAGGCACAGGAGGGATAGCTGTAGTTGACAACTACATCATTACAACATCATTACAACAACCAAGAAGGGATGTATTCATACTTGTGGCCTCTCTCCGCCCCTTCCCCCGTAAAAATGAAGGACTCATCTGATAAAGTTTTTCAGTTTGATTTTCATGGAAGAAATTAGAGATAATATCACCGATAATCTCTCCATTTTTTCTCGAAACTTGCACTCGTCATTTACTTTTTCATTTGAAATGGTCCCTGTACTTTTCAAATATATGCTCGAATGGTCCTTCTTTGTTAAAGTCGTGAGTTGGGTGCTAAGTTGGACGTTGGAATGTTGACTTGAATATTAGAGCTCAGCCAAAAAATAATCACCCAAACTGGGAATAGCCTGGATCGAATCGGCCGGTTCTGAATGCTTCTCGTGAACACCGGTCTAGTTCCTGATTCTATAAAATTGAAACCAGTGAATTTCGGTCAAGTTCCCGCTTCCAAGTGTAGAATCGCTCACCTTGACCACCCAGATTGGACCAATTTTTTAATTTTTTTTAAAGAAAATTAGTATAAGTACGAAGAGGGTTCAATACATTCAAGAATCAAAGAAGGTTTTCCTCCGGCTATATAAAGTTTGCTTTCCCATTTCACAAAGGAATGCCCTTCAAGGCTAGAGCGACTTCATTTACTTATGCAAGTGAGTAAGATGACAATAACAAATCAAAACACAATAGTAAGTGCTCATTCCAACAAAATTTTGTCACAAATTGAAAAAATCCCTATGAAACCTACAATGTTACACGTAACTCTACATTTTGATTGTCAAGAATATCTTCAAATTTTGTCATGAACATTAACGATAAATAAAAAAATACTTAACATGCCACCAGTTCCATTGGCCCACATGGGAGTGGTTGGTCCAGTTCCAAAACTTGGAAACCAGCCACTCTGATCCGATATCTAGGCGAGTATCGATCATCTCTATTGGATTATTGAGAATCCAAAAAAAGAAAAAAAGTAAAATAAAGGGCCGACTATAAATTTTCAAGAAAAAGTAGAGGGACTATCAATGTCATTATCCTTCAAATTTGAGTTTTTTGGGTCCTGAGGTTTAGTCTTCTCTTTCAAAGGCTCGTTTAGCTTAGCATGATGTAACGAGGAGTTGGGCTTTGGCCTGAAAATGATGAGCTGGGTTATCTCGTATGGGCTCTTAGTAAGCACATACATGCTCACAAAAACTTATGGATTTCAATTTCATGGGCTGAGGCAACCAAAAAAAAAATCCATGGGCTGTACGGAAAATTCTTGGGATTTGCTCAAATCAAAGCTTTTTCCTTTATGAATGACCTGATTTTGAACTCACATAAAGGATGCAGCCACTTTGGTACAAAAGAAAGTTTTCTGGCTGCAGTGGCTTCTTGCTGGAAGCATCATTGTCCTTTACTTTGTGGCTGCAATGATGCCCTGTGGTACTTCCTGCTGCCCTATCTGCTCCTATTGCCCGGCCATTAACAAGGGAAAAAAAGCCATTTTTGTATCTTTTCTTCGCGTCACCAATTCAATGGTCGATAACAGAAAACGGAGCCAAGCAATTTGTATTGATCTGGCTATTGCCTCCCCGGTCGTGAAGGCCCCATTGATTGAAGGCAACACGAGTTTGACTCTCGCCATCAAAGTAAAGTAGGGGCTGGCGGTCACGAACCGGAAGAATTCATCCGAACCTTGAAACGAGAGTCGTCGAGGGTCTCCAAATTTTACCAACCAATGAGTTGAAAAGGCTGGTTCGAGGGTTTTTGGTTATGGGAAAGAAGAAGCGTGTGTACCCTTATCAGAAGATACAGTAGAATAATCTTACTAGACCAAGTTGATAACGGTGCATAAATAATCTTACTAGACCAAGTTGATAACGGTGCATATCTTCGCATAAACAATTCCCAGTGTAGAAACAGCTCATCGGTGGGTTTCCACGAAAACCAGCTATTAACGCTCCTAGCATCATCAAACGCTGCCCCCTCGTCAATGTCAACTCTGACCGAGTGGTTATGGCTATCCCTTGCCGACCCAGAATTAGAAAAATAGATCTGTAACATATGCAGCTGACCAGCCTGACAGAGACATCGGCGGGCGGGTGGCTCACCGATCTGTATGAACGATCCTGAACTGGATGTTTTGAGAAACAGTTGAAAGTGTCTGCAATGTCATGCTTTGACTGTGGACTTCTTGCCCCACTTCCTGTCCTCATCCCAATTCTTCAGAAAAATTCCTCCTTTTCTTGGGTCATCATCCACCACTCGTATTCTTCTTTTGACCGCTATTTCCCTTTCTTCTAAATCCTACTTTAAGCCTTTGTTTATCACATCTTACATTTCCCCTCCTTCGTTTACACTTTTCTCTAGTGCTTTAATCACGTGTGCCATACTCGGTCCACGTTCTCGTGCCTCCCTCCCCCTCCCTCTCTCTCTCTCTCTCTCTCTCTCTTCTTTTGACAATGAACATAAGTCCAAATGCAAGCCCTCTCTTCTTCTTTGTACAAACGTCTGAGTTTGACATGATGGACAGAGCTTCAGCAGCAATGGAGACGCCAAAATCTGAGACTCCCATGCCGTGCGAAGCAAGAAGACAAGGAGGGTTGCCTCTTCCAAGAGCAGAACCCACAGCCTTCATCGGCAAGCACAGGTTGGCTGCTTCCATAGCACATCTCCAAAACCAGATCAATATCATTCAGGTTCAACACTGATTAAGACTGTTTTTTCTCAGCCCAAGAAAGAAAAAGACTGGTGCTTTTGGTCATGTGGTTTCCATCCGTATGCTTGCATCACAATTGATAGACGGTCTCATGGATCTTTCTTGTTGCAGGAAGAGTTGGAGGAGCTTGAAACCATGGGTGAATCATCTCTCGTATGCAAAGAGTAAGGAGAAACTCCAATTCATCATACGCTTGACATGAATTACATTCATAGACTCCCACTAGAACTTCACTGTAAGTTTGATTATTGCGCAGGCTCATTTCAAGCATTGAATCCATTCCGGATCCACTACTTCCAGTGTAAGTATTGATTCCATTGATGTCATGTACATCCTTCCAGATTTTCATCATCAGGTTGGATTTCGCCTATAGATGTTCTTGCCGTTGACTGTGTTTTTGCTTTAGGACAAAGGGTCCTTCAGATGTTGGCTGGGAGCGGTGGTTCCGAGGTGACCACCATTCACGACGCAACAAGCGGTGGATCTAAAGGCTTTGATGACATTTGTTTGAGGATGCAACTTTCAACCGCAAACTCAGAGAGAGAGAGAGAGAGAGAGAGAGAGAGAGAGAGAGTAACATTCCTGCTCTGTATTATCTCATCACATTTGTGTACACATCTTGAATTTTCTCATTGTATGCTTTCACATTGACTCTAAATACCCAAAATATAAATAATGCAAAATTTTTTTTTTTTGGAGAAGAGCTGAAGAATGAGTCATCTAACGGTACGATATTTAGATAGACAATCAATTTTGACCCGATTGACCATCAGTATGTATAACATAACAAATCAAAGCCGGGTTCTCACTGTTTCCACACCCCTGAATTTCAAACTGGTAATCGAGACACATTCATGGTGAACTGCAGCTCCACTAGCATTTCCAGAACTTAGGAGGGCCACTAATCGCAAGTGATGAACATGGATAATATGCATCAGGCAGCAAGTAATTAGTTTCCTCAACGCCATGTTTCAGAAGATGAGGCAAGGTCCTGTCTGGGAATCGGAATCCCTATATTGTTGCTCTAATATGCTCTTCAATTAGAGGAATAGCTAACCCCCTTGGATGCATCATGTGGCGCTGACCTATGATATTGACTGACAACTGCAAAACCAATGGAATCCTGCAGAATTACCCTCTAAGAGATCTTGATCAGAGCTCTTTTCTGATATAAGGCTCAATCCAAACCTTTCCACATCTTAAAGGTTTGGAAAAATAGGAACCGCACAATACACCTTTTGGTGCAGTCAATTCTTTAAAGCAAGCTAAATAACTCCCATTATGCGATTGTCCATGTCCATGTCCAAATGAGGATTCCATGAAGAAGCCATCAACAACTGACATTGAACTTTCTTTATCAGAGTGCATCAGACAAATCCATTCAGAATTACATCCGCTGTCATTATGACCTCCGTTGCAGATTTCGACCCAATCATGTTGAAATCGTTGCTGAAGCTGACGGGTGATCAGATATGAGCTTCAGGAAGAAGTCCATTGTTTTGAGATCCTTAAGATGGAGTGATATATTGCTCGATTCCATGAGCTCTGAGATTGACAACTGTCACAAGATAAGCACGTACCCAGTTCAGACAAAATAGATCGCATAAGAAGTCTCGTTCAACAAAGTATTCCACTATATCCCTGCTAATTTCACCGATCTTCAGTAGGCTATCAAGAGAAAGATGCATAGGCCTGCACACTGTAAAAGATCATGGAAAAGTCTCTTGGATCAGCCAAATAAATTTGTCCCAGCCACGGAAGACTTCGGGTATCTTCGGCTCATCATAAATAACGAGTCTTGATCTGAAAAGTCACCATAAAACGAGTAGAAAATCCAAAGATTTGTCAAAAGGCCAGATTTCTATATAATCACCAGTAGTCTCCTCAAGAGCAAGAACCATCTTTAAAGTGATAGAACCTGTGAGCATCTCTCACTATGATTCAGTTACCTTGGAAGAAAAATTCGTACCATTATGGCAATCGCCGAAATCTCTAAGGTTCTTCCTATTCCTCATGACACTCCCTGATGCTAAATTTAGAATCCCGAAGACGATAGCTAACTTCTCACTATGTGCGTATTACATCTTTTCTTTAATCTCTTCCTCAGCTTCATGGATGTTTGGCTTATACCCTTCTAGCCGAGTTTTAGCCATTAGTTTGTCCAACTCTGAATAGATGACATCTGTTTGTCGATGTGACCTGTCCCCCGCCACAAACGTATAGATTCTGTTCCCAATTTCTATTATTGCGTGGCCTGAAAGTTTCCTCACTTCCCTTCTTTTCATAAGGTCTCTTATTTGATTAGCTTCTTCCTTATTTCCTAATGATGCATAAATGTTGGACAATACAGCATAACGACCAGGGTTCTCAGGATCCAGTTCAAATAAAAACTTCGCTGCCTTTTCAGCCCGTTCTACATCCCTATGGATTCGAGATGCTCCAAGCAATGCTCCCCATACACCAGCATTTGGTTCTATTGGCATTCTCTCAATAAAATCCACTGCTTCATCCAAACGTCCAGCTCGACCTAATAGGTCTACCATACAGGCGTAATGTTCATGTATTGGTGTCACCCCAAAATCTCTACTCATGGATTCAAAGCACTCCCATCCTTCATTTAGCAACCCAGAATGGCTACAGGCTGACAAAACTGATACAAATACAATGTGGTCAGGCTTTACAGAAAACTTCATCCGATCAAAGAGGTAGAGTGCTTCTCTACCATGGCCATGCATCGCATATCCGGATATCATAGCACTCCAAGATATCAAATTCTTCTCAGGCATCAGATCAAATAACTTCCTAGCATACTCTAAATTTCCACATTTGGCATAGAGATCTACCATACAAGTATTTAGCGCTACGCAATCTTCAAGAATTCTGCGAATTATGATTGCATGCACCGTGCAAGCTCGCAAAAAAGAACCTAACTCCAAACAAGCTCGGAGCACACTAAGTAATGTTATTGCATCGGGGTCAATACACAAGCATAACAACTCTCTAAAGAGATCCAAAGCTTTTAAAGGCATATCAGCTTTGGCATAAGCCTCGATCATGGACGACCAACACACCAAGTCCTTGTCATGTATCCCATCGAAGAGGGCTCGCGCAACATCGACTCTACCGCACCTAGCATACATGATCATTGCCGCATGTAGGACAGAGAGATCTGAATCGAGTCCATTATCCATCGCAACTCTACAAACCGCGTCAGCCTCGGCTTCCCTGCGCACACAAGCCATGGCATCCACAGCTGCCCCTTTGTTCGGCCAGACTCCCCCATCCAGCATCTCCCAAAACAAGCGCAAGCCATCCTCATAACACCCGTTTCGCGCGCACGCACCAATCATCGAGCTCCACGAGACAACGTTCCTGTCAGACATTCTATCGAACACCCGCCGGGCAACGTCCACGCGCCCGCACTTCCCGTACATGGCCACGAGGGAGTTGCCCACGAACACGTCCGAGTCGTACCCAGATCGCAACGCGTCGTGGTGAGCCAAGGCCCCGGACTTCAGATCCCCGAGGCACCCGCACGCCTTGAGGACGAAAGGGAACGTGAAGTTGTCCGGCCCGATGCCCAGCCCACGCATCCGGGCGTAGAGACCCAGAGAGGGACGGTGCCGGAGGCCGTTCACGCAGCCCCGGATGACGACGTTCCAGAGGAAGACGTCGGAGGACGACTCCGAGCGCGAGAACAGAGCGCGGGCGAGGGGGAGGGAGCCGAGGGACGCGTACCTGGCGACGAGGTGGGTGAGGAAGTGGAGGTGGAGGTGGAGGCTGGCGCGGAGCATGGCGGCGTGGACGGCCTTCAGGGAGGTCGAGGAGCCGCATCGCTCGATGAGGGCGACGCAGGTGTCGGGGCAGACGGGGCGGCGGACGAAGGTGGCGGCGGCGGCCTGCGATTCCGCGAAGAAGAGGGACGGGGAGTGGAGGGGCTCGAGCGCGCGTAGCCTCTGCAATTGCATGGAGTCCACTCCGATGATATTACGGAAGAGCCATCGGGAATAATTCGAGTTTATAAGGTGTCGATTAATTTGGTAAGGTAAAGTTTTACACATACATATGTCATGCATTTTGCATTTTCAATCATAATATTTACAAACTAGTGCGATTTGCAATCATATAACTAGACTTTAATTTCAATTTTCCAAAGCATTTTGAGCTTTTCATTTTCTTCTTCCAATTTATGAACTCTACCCAATTTTTGACAAATTTTTCTGTAAAAAAACTAAGGTAGCATATTGCATGAAACCGTGATGATGTGACAGCTGAGTGTTACATCGGCCTAATGAAGAAAACGGGAAAAAAAAAGAAGAAGAGGGGAAGGACAATATATATGTCACAACTTTTGTATTGAAATGTTTTATTTTGTATGACGCACACTTGAGGGTCATAACTTTTTTTTCCGATCATGAGTATCATAACTTATATGCTGCGCTCATTTAAGTGTCATAATTTTTCCTCCGATTGTTTGAGTGCCATTTAACTTTTCAATTGATCACTTAAGTATCACGACTTTTTAACAACATTTAGATTTTCGATACTTGGGTAAACGTTTTTGAAAAGTTGTGGTACTTAAGTAATCACATTTAAAATTATGACACTGGAGTGAACGTTTTTTAGAAGTTATAGTACTTAAGTGAGCGCTGTACAAAAATTATGATACTTATAACGTACTTATCCCAAAAAGAGAGTTGTCCAACCTTGTGACTCCTCATCCGCCCAGGCTAAGGGTTGTGACCTTTGTCTACTTTGAGAGAGGGTGCTGACCCTCTACGATCGGTCGATGAAGGTCGCGAGGCCTTTATGTGTACTTGGTGAGTGTGACATAGAACCTAGACGTGATAGTGAGGGCTGCACGACTAGCAGGGGTCTAGTGACATCGCTTTGGATTTCTCTCTTTTCTTGCCAATGTCATGCTAATGTCATGCTATGTCAACATCTTGTGTGAATTTCGAAAAAAAAAAAAGAAGAGATCTTGTGTGAATCGGAATGCCCAAACAAAGAGTCGCTCAAAAATTTGACCAATTTTTTGGTAAAAGCGCATCAATCGCAAAAATCTAAAAACTCTAATAAATTTGCGTATTGAAATTAAAGTTAGCTTGATTGCAAAGCGCGCCCTAGTTCAATGACCTTAGGCGAAATTCCCCATCATTTTCAACTTTAGTAATTCTGGGGATATGTGCATGTTTAGGGGTCAAATTAGGGGTCTTGCTTTGGATACAACAATTCAAGGGTACATTTTCACTCTCTATTGATAGTCGAGCCTGCGCTACGCACCGGTAGTGTTAACTTAAGAAACAAATTTGTCATTTTATAGACCAGTATCACGAAATTACTAAGGATTGAGAGAATTACTTTCAATCCATGAAATTTGAAAGTTGGGTGAAGAACGCATATACTCTTCAACAAAACAAATCGAATATTCATATGATGGTGGTCTAAAAAATTGAGACGTACATATATGGGTGTGATTAAAGAAAGAAACAGCTTTCTCAGTTCCTAAAACTCAAGAGCATCTATTCCTCACTCAGTGAAATTGATCAATATGTCTTCTAAAGAGCCTAAACTGGCGTGGACGTGTTAAGTTGATCAAAAGAAAAGCAAGAAAAAACTGGAACGGGTGAATATTCTATTTTATTCAGTGATGATGCAAAAAACAAAGGAGAACATTAATTTACAAAACTCAAGAAATTTCGTGTAGTCCGAGTAATTAGCCAAACAGGATTAAGATTCTATTGCAGTACAACAAATTCGCTCCAAGATTGTACTTCTGTAGAAGAGTGGGAAAACCTAGAAGACATGTTTCTTGGTTTCTTCGAATGCACTCGTTCACCCCAAAGAGAAGGGTTCGTTAAACAATAGACGAAAAGACGGGGGCTTGAAGAAAGCTCTCTCTGGACTGATGTAGTTTGGAAGATCTCTGATGGTATGAGACATCGTGTCTTCTCTTGAACCCTTGATGTCTCTTTGGGCCAATCCGTACCTTTCTTGACCAGATAGCCCTGTCCATACTCCTTTGGTTGTGCTTGACTGCAAGAAGAAGATGGAAAATGAATTGGTCGGCGACGGCAGATATAAACGTCAACAACAGATGATGCTCAATTATTTTTGCAATTAGTCAAAAAGAATGGGAGACTCCCTGTAGTTTATTAACCTTAAATAACATTGCTGGCGAGAGTTGCCTTTCCTTAACATGGATGTGTTGTTCATGTACAGAATGAAAACTACCCGAGTCCAAATCTGCAGTTCCAAGGTGCAGTGCAGTTTGTTTCATGCAGATTATTTTGCAGGGTTGCTAGTGGAGAGCAGTTATTTCTCAAAATTGCCCCGAGTCCAATGTAAGAAGTTCACGGTTGGCTTGATCCTGCGATGCTGTGGATCGATGAGTTCTGGGGTATACCTGAATTCTTAATCAGATGACCGTGAGGACCTAAGGAGATCTAAAAAACCAGTAAACAGTGAAATTAGTAGATGTTTCGAAAATCAAATGAGATAGTATTAGGACTATTTGCCTGATGAGTCGATCTTTGTTCTGTGCGTCATCTTCGGTTACAGGATGTGAGTTGTGTTATCCAAGCCTACTATATTAGGACGAACTCCGAACATCTTGTAAATGCATATAGAAATGTACTTATTCCTCACACATGGTGCAATTGATACATATATTGTTCGACAATTCTGTCCATTGTCATAGTGAAAATATATCGCTTAGAGACTCAATGAATGATCTGATATGCAAAACAATCGCAACGCATAATATGTCCTCAAAAGATGTTTCTTTAAGTGGTATCTAATGTATGAAGCCCAATGGTGGTCTCACCATTTCTCGAATTGATAGTCCGGTCTAGTAAAATTACTCTAAACAGTAATGACTCAAAAAGTGACTCAAATTCACTGGAACAAGACATGCACAATGGCAAACCAAGACCTTAAAGCATTACAAAAATGGGCCGACTTGATGGCATATCAGCTTAACTCACAGTTCACTTGACGCTGACAGGATTTAACACCAAAGAGGGAAATAGAGAGAGAGAGAGAGAGAGAGAGAGAGAGAGAGAGAGAGAGAGAGAGAGAGAGAGAGAGAGAAATCCAACCAGACTCATGCACAGCTCGCAAGTACAGTAGTGTCTCATTAATATAAAATCCTGGTGAAAGATGATAAACCAACTCCTCACAACTGTGCATTCCTCTGATCTTACTCCATGCATGGCAACAGGAATATGTGCTTACCCCGAGATGCTTTGACGACTTGTGAAACCGTGTATATATACATGGATTTCCTCCCGGTACAAGGCCAATGTCGACTCAGGTGGTGAACCAGAAAAGAAGCTTCAAGAGACACGAACCATGGATTGAGGTGGAAGGAGTACTAGATCTTGTCTGGACTTTCCCCTCAAGCTCCCTTTTCTTGTTTTACTCAAAAAATACGAGAAAATAATCCAGAGATAATCTCTCTTTATCATCAAAAGCTACACAGAGCACTTACCAATCACAAACACCAAAAGACACTTAGTAACGCATAAAGAAAAGGCAATACCGAGGAAAATCGAGATGAAGCCAGCTGCAAAAATCAAGATGAAAAGAAAAGGATGACGGCAGAAAATGTAATTTGCCACAGATAACCCACAATATGTCAGGCGCCTTTGGTCATTTTTCAGTAGTCAGAAAATGCATATAATGAAAACTGAAAACCAAAAGGACAGCAACATGTGCGTGGTGACTTATAATGCCTCGAACCCAATTCGCCAAAAGCATAAAAACAAATGGAGAACTAATCTCACTACAGAAGGTGATGGAAAGTTTGAACTGTAAAGTATATGAAGAAGCGTACACGAATCTTCTCACAACGCACCGAAATTGTTTATGCTATCAAAACTAGGAAAACTTCTACACAAAAGCAATGGGAAAAGAGAAGATGATGAACATAGTGGAAGTGTAAGACTTGTTATGAAAAAAAAAAAGACACATTCAGCTGCAAACAAAACCAGAAAAACGTCACTGAAAGGACCCCCAAGATATTTCAGTAAATTCGAATAAACCCAAGGTAAATACAAAACATCCCAGCATTTGAATAACTCATGGATTTGTAAGATTTCAATCCCAGGAAGGACTCGTTTGATTCTAGTCACCATTTCTGAGGTATCAACCTCGATAGGGAAATAAAAAGGACGACGGCTAAAAGAACAAGGGGAGCTTTAAGGGAGAGAGTTCAGGCAAGGTCGAGTGCTCTTGGATTCTCGCTAGTTCTTGATAAATAAACTTTCTTGGCCAATGCTTCAGATGGAGAAGAGAGAGGGGCGATACTTGAAGCAATGAAAAGGAGTTTATATAGTCGAGGGCTCGCGGCCTTTCAACCTTCGGAGAAGCCAAATAAACATTGGATGCTCCATAGTTTTATGCGGGGAAAAGAAAGAGAACCTTCAAGGGCCTTAAAGTACAGGATATTGGAAATGACAGCCCCAATTCCAAGGAATTTCTTTGTGCGTGTGCGTGTTTGCATTGTCAGATGAATTTCCTTGAAGTTGAAGTTGCAAGTTGCAAGGCAGGTTTTAATCCCCCCAGGCGGTTGAAGATGACAAAGAAAAGCAAGGGTAAAAGGAATGGGATTTACAGCCAGTTTACACTAAACACCACGTATTGAGGAGAACTGCATAGAAAGTCCTGAATCTTGTGTATGAAATGGAATCAAGTCCTAAACTTCTCAATGGATTCAATTATGTCATAAATCTTCGAAAAAATGTGCGATCAAGTCCTTTCGATTAAGAATACCTAAAATCGCATTCATGTCACTTGAAAAGTGTTTATGTGGCATCCTTAAGTTATACCTTTCAACATAATTTTAAGACTTAATTTAATTTTTCACTAAAACTTGAGAATTTAATGAAATTAAGTTAAAAAGTTTAGGACTTTGTTTCACTTTGTGGTAAAGATTTGGGATTTGATTGAACCAATTGAAAGAATAT